GAACATCCCATGGATGGCCAAGACAATGAACAGATATATCATGGAGATGGCTCAGCCAGAGTGCTCTTTGGAGGCAAGACTGATCAGGTTTTGCCTCACATGCTTTGGACATGTTGCTAAGAGATGCTATTCCTTGGAGAGGGGCATGATGTTGGGAAGGGTGGAGGGTTGGCAAAGCAAAGGAAGATTCTCAGTCAGGTGATGGCTGCAATGGGCTTTTGTGTGTCAGGATGTGTGAGTATGGCACAGGCCAGGACTGGGTTCAGATCATTTGTTCATAGGTTCGCTATAAGTCATACTTGACAGCACCTAACAACAACAACAATCCAATCCGCAAGAGGATTGCCTACTTTTGCCACTAATTTTTTTTCCTCTTCTCAGCAATAGGTTTTAAGGAGTCTCAGCACCAGTAAAGAAGAACGTGAAAAGGTGTGTGTGTGTGTGTGTGTGTGTGTGTGTGTTTGGGTCTAAAGATTATTGTCTAGCTAGACTTACAACAGCAGTAGTTGTGGCCACAGACAAGAATCAAGAGTCCTGACATGAGATGTAACTGAATTTGGAACTACCCTTGTATCTACTATATGGAACTAGAGCTAAGAGCCTTTCACCCAAGATTGTTGGAGAACTGGCAAGAAAAGCCATACTTTGGCAGGAATAAGTGCTTTTTAACATTTGCTTAAAGCATTTGTGAGCACATTTCAGAAGCTGTCCTGACTGAGTGATTGTATCTGTTATCAATATGAATTATAATCTTTTTACTTCTCTACATTCTATGTAATCTTTGAGCTATTGCAATGGATTTTGGACCCAGCAGAGTACTAAGATTCATGTTGGAATGAGTAGAAAACAAGATAGAAGTATGGGGGGTGTATCTGACCTCAAGGAAGATGATTTTATATTATGAATGCTATCAAGGGGGGAACAGTTTCCATTGTGGAATTGTTAGAGGTAAGATATGGCTGTTCTCATGACATGCTTGCTCTTTATTACAAAAGGGGAAGAAGATATTTAGCTTTTTTATTTTTTTATTTTATTTTGTGTGTGTGTGTGTGTGTGTGTGTGTAACTGTCAAATCAGATCTGACTCGTACAGGAGGAGATTGTCCCTCCTTTTCCAGCAGAGCATCTGGTGGATTTGAATTGCATGCCTCTGGAATTGCAGTGCTGCTTTTTGCCATTAGGACAACTGAGCTCCCTGATATTTAGCTTTTTTAAGTAAAAAATTTGTCTGGAAGCCAGCAAGATAAATTAGAGAATAATGGACAAGCTATCAGAGAGTTGTGACACCTATAAGAAAGCTCCCAAGCCCAGAAAGCTGTGAACAATCACAATTTTAATATCAGTAGTACATATAGAAATAACTAAGTGACTTGTTCCTTTTTGATTAGGTAAACTATGCTAAGGTGATATTTTCCCTTGCTTCCTTTGCATCTGAAAGTTGAACAATCAACAAAAATGACCTAAGAAGAATCAATGGCTTTGAATAAGTGTAAGTGAAGAGTACTGAATATTCCGTGGACAGCCAAAAGAAGCCTTGTCTAGGTGACTTGCAACCGGGATGCTTTTTGGAAGCGATGATGTGAAACCTTGTCTCACATACTTTGGGCATGTTGTCAGGACAAGAGAGTCCTTGGAAAAAGACATCATGTGAGGAAAGGTGGAGAGTCATAGAAAGAGAGGAAGACGCTCAATGAGATAAATTGTCACAGTGACTGTAACAATTGGCTTGAGCATGGCAGAAATTATAAGGAAAGCACAGGATGGGGTAAGCTTCTGAGCTTTTGTTCCTAGGTTTGCTACAAGTCATAGTCAACTAAATGGCACATAAAAACAACATACCAAAATGCTATCAAAAGACCTGATCCAGTTTTAGAGAAGGTAAAATGAGAAGAAATGATGTAAAAGACTTAAAGAATTATGAGGTGAATTTCAGTGTGACAGATATTGTGCATTTTAACAGTGCTCTATATAAAAATGCTTACCCTGTCCATCACGCTATTAAAGCTTTAAGAGAGAGCATAATAAAATGATGAGGTATATTATACATGAACCAGCCAGAACAAAAAATAACATTCAAGTCTAAATTAGATGTTAGAGTAGAAGAGTAGCACATCTTTAAGTTATATTCAATACACATATATTTAAAATAAGTACATTTATCATATATTAGTGTTTGTTTATCTGAACCAAAAGTGTATATAAGAAAAACAAGTGTCTAGGCCAGGCCGCAAATTAGAAGTACAAAAGGAATTCAGACCTAAATACCTGAGCTGAGCCATGTGTGCTTAATTTCCTGGGTGGCAAATGCAGCTCAGATGAACATTACAAGACTTTTTGATGTTTCAAATTCTGCTCTCTAAAATTCATCATACTGCCTATATTTCAAAATATACCATATGTTACTAATTTAGAGAGGACTTTTCCCAATAAAATTTAAATTCACAGCTTACCAATTCTAGATATCTACTATCCTAGGTAGTTAAAAACAAGATTTATTTTTCTCAACTGCAAACTGTGTGATGGTGTTTAATAAAGGTTTAGCTCCTATGTCCCGTGACATAATTCTACTAAATGAACAGATAGAATATAGAGATTATTTAGCACAAGCCATGGTAATTATGATTGTAAGTATACAAATTTGCTACACAAAGTGAGTGGCATTTGTGAAAGAACTTGCTAAATGTATAGCACTTGATGTTTTTAAATAATATTACTTGAATGATTTATTTTTGCCATTTGACAGAAAAGCAGTAAAGATGAAATGAGAACATAAAGTACTCTATCATTCCTCTAAGCATACTTAAAGATGTGGCATTTACTGTTTTCAATTATATTCCTGCTTCAATAAAATTGTTCATATTACTACACAAAATTTCAAACTACTTTATATATGTCAATAACCTAACTATTAATATTTCATAATACTTAAAATTTGAAAGAAATAACATTTGAAATTATAGGTCTTAAAAGTTAATTGTCTTATTTAGAGTAAAAAACAAAAAAACACGGATAACTCAGAAACTAAGGTAGAATTTTATGTCTTAAAGTTGAAACATATAAAAAATTATATTTTTGCAAAGTTTATTGTAAAGTGAAATGCCAAGTCATGTATAGTAATGTCTTTAGTCTAAGCAGAGTTAGAACCACTTTCTGACTCCGAAGGTACTAAGCATATGAAAAACAATCCTATAAAATACTTATCAGACAGATTCAACTGTGTGTCAAGTTACCCAATCTAGGCTTTCACTCTAGGTGTATAATTTTACAGCACTAAAAAGTTAGTGTAGTCAATAAAAATGTATTTTTTTTTCCCATAAGGAAATAATGAGCTACTGTCAAACTGTAGATGATTTTTTTAAGGTTTTTGCTAATTCTAACCATCAATTTTATATATAACTAAGAAAACTTGTCAGATTGCAATGATTTAGAAATATTTCTCTATGAGAAAAATAGAAATCAACTATTAGAGAAATAACCCAATTTTAATAGCTAGCTAGGTTCAGGTTTAGGGTTTTTTTTTTCCCTATAATATTTATAATAAACTTATTTTTAAAATGTAGTAATGGAGAATACATTTAAAAATTATCTTTAAATAAACACAGAACCATCAAATTAAATATAAAATCTACAAAGGAATAAATAAATCCAAGAGATTCCAAATATTGTTATTGTTGTGTGCCATTGAGTCAGTACCAACCCAGCTAATCTTCCAGCAGGTTTTTGTTGTTTTTTTTTCCCTGCAGGTTTTCAGAGGTAGTGAAGTGCATGGGAGGAGATTACTATCCTTTTCCCATGGAGTAGCTGGTAGATTCGAGCAGGGTGTCTTTGGGATTGCAGTACAGCTCTTACCAGTAGGTCACCAGAACTTGCTAACAATTTATTATGGCATATAAATATATTTTTGAGTGAATGATGATTAAATTTAAAAAAATACCCGCTTTCATTAACTGTCATTTTGCATTTAGTTGTACTGAAGAAATAATGCTCCCAGTCATTATATTTTTGGCGAGAAGCAGTATTTTACTACATTTGAGTATATTGCTAATTTTAATTACCAGCTGATAAGTAATCAAGTTGTTCAGCTATTGTGGAACTTGTAAGCCTATATTTCTTCAAAACAAATAAGGAGGCAAAATATGAAACAAATGTGCTAGCCCTATAAACATATTTGCTTTGAGAATGATAATAAAGATAACTAACATTCCTTAATATGAATACTATATTCTTTAACAGGAAAGATGATAAATACTACCGGCATAAAGCCAAGTGTAGTAATAGATATTTAGAAAGGAGAGAGAAAAGATTAGCCAATGTAGATATGCTGAGACATGGAGATATTACTTTGTTTATAAAAGACATGGTCTAAAGGTACAATTTGGTCACTGAAAATGTTACTACAATTTGAAATTTATAGACCTACATGGCTTTCAATAGCTATTGTCACATGCTGCCCATTTATAAATAACTTAAATATTATCTGTCAGTGAAAAGATATATTACTCGTTTCCTCACACATGAAAAATGAAATTCTCTGCTTTGAATCAAAAATTAGTTTACACTCAGAGAACTGTTTCATTTCTTAAATACTTCGTTTGAAAGAGGAAATACTTATAACTGGAAAGAGAGAAACTAGGAGGCTGCTTAGTATCTTGTTTCCTTTTATCATACCCCTTTCTGTAACATAATCAAATAAAATGCTAGATTATTTTGGCACTTTTTAGCATAATTTAATTATAAGTGAGTTTTAAAATAATGCTTAAATTGCTTGAAAGAAAATGTTAATTTCTTCTATGGACCAAAATTTTTAATACTCATTTCACACTTCAGCATACTGTAATTAGCAAATGTGACTATTAGTTCTGTAGGATTTTTTGTTGTTTGTACAAGAATACGTTAAATTTATAATATAGTTTTTTGTTTCCAATGAGACTCCTTTTAATTCCCCACAAACAACATAAAGAATAAATACTTTAAAAAGAAGGGAAATGCTTCCAAACCTACTTTTTCTTCAGTCTTCTATCCTTTTCAGCCTGAGTTCCAAGTTTGCCTAACCCCAAGGATTCCTGGGCTGCAGCTTCGGTCTCCATAAACCCTCCTGTAAAGAAGTAGTTATTCTGGTTAACTTGCATATATTAGATCAATTATAAAATTAAGCACTTAAAAGTTTATTAAGGGCTTGTTTAGCATCATAATATATTTTTTTATTTTGAAATGCCCTCTTATTTCAATGCAACAAGAAAGAAGTGGAATGCACACATATGCACATCAGTATAATAGCTTTAAAAAACCCCAAATGCCTATTAATATGGCTTATTTTTTTACTAAATGGTAACATAGTAAACATGGCTTCTGTACAAACACTTGAATATACAATATTCTCCCTGGAAGACTACTTTAATAATTTTAATATTCAATATGTTAACAGAAAACAATATTTCTGAGTAGAAACTAAATGTATTTTTAAGAACATTTTTTAAAAGAATGAAGAGACATTTGCTGAGTTCTGAGGATACTTCTTAGCCTGGAAGTCTTTGCTACTCATATATCTGGCTAATTCTTCCATCCTATAGCATATTTGTCCACCCAGAGTATTTATTTTGGACAAGATATCTTTTGTTTTTGTTTTTGCTGATGCTGTTATTTTAGCTTGTCATAATACCTAAAAATGTCTAAATATCAGTAAACTAGTATTTACTCAGAAGGTTATAAAATACATGATGGTAAAAATTATTGGATATAAAATACATACAATACATACAAACTTGGAATCAAATAGAGAATGAAATAAAAGCTTGTCAGCTGACTCTGGGCTACACATACTATAATACATAACTTAAAATATAAAACTGTCTGCTTATTCTTTTGATAGGTCTAAAAAATATGAAAGAAAATAATATGGCCACTTTATAGTGGATTAAGGTGGGCAATCTCCTCCCATGTGATGAACTGCCTCTGAAAACCTACTGGAGGCTGAGCTATGGGTAGGTTCGACTCAATGGTATACAACAAAAACAATCTGTACCAAAAGTACAGTCCTTTGTATATCTTTATTAGTAATGTCTTCATTCTCTGAGATTAGTTATACTTTTTGGGAAACTGTCCAAGAGTAACATATGCATAGCACTTGGAATTTTGCCTCTGACATATGAAAATCTCAGAACACTTTATTATGCTGTATGGGGTCAATACGTAGACCAAGAAACTGTTGTCTGAATGGAGCAAGTGTTAAATTGTGTGGTTTAAATTCGGGAAGGGTTCTAGGGTTTACCCTTTCTCCATATCTGTTCACTCTGTAAGCTGAACAAATAATTCATAAAGCTAGACTCTGTGAGGAAGAAAGCAGCATCAGGATTGGAAGAAGACTAATCAACAACATCATTATACAGATGACATAACTTTGCACACTGAACATGAGGAGGATATGAAATGCTTACTGCAGAAGATCAAGGACTACAACTTTCAATATGGATTACATCTCAACATCAAGAAAACAAAGGTCCTCACTACAGGATCAACAGTCAACATTATGATAGATGGAGGAAAGAATTAAAGCTGTCAATGATTTAGTCTCGCTTGGATAAATATCAACTCCCTTGGTATCAGCAGTTAATATTACATTGGGTAAATATGCCACCACTGACCTCTCCAAAAATGCTGATGAGTTTAATAATGGAATAGTGTCATAATGGAAACTAGGTGCACCTCAGTCAGGCCATGGTCTCTTCAGTACCTGCTATGCATCAGAGAGCTGGACAATGAATAAGGATGACAGAAGGATTGATGTCTTTTAGTTGTTATATTGGAGAAGAGTGCTGAATATTCCACCGACTGCCAAAAGAATAAACATATCTTGGAAAAGCTGCAGCCAGAGTGCACCTTAGACACAAAGATGATGAAGCTTCATCTTTAATACTTTGGATAGGTAGGCAGGTGAGGCTATTCCTTGGAAAGGACATCACGTTTGCAACAATGCAGTCAGTGAAGGAGCGGAAGAATTCCAAGGAAACGTATTACCACAACGACTTCAAAAAGGGGCTTTAGTGTGTCAGAAATCATGAGGATGGCATGGGAAAGGGCAGGGTTCATTTTGGCTGTTGCTAGGGTTGCTATGAGTCATACTTGATGTGATGACATCTAATAACAACAACAATAATAGTACACACACAAGGAATTCTGGTGGTATGGTGTTTAGTCGTTAAGAAAAAGTTGTTGGTTTAAAGCGACTAGCACATTTGGTTTAAAGCGACTAGCACATTTGATAGTCATACTCTGTAATGTTTAAAAAAATAAAATAAAACTAGTCTTATTGTCATTTAGTTGATTCTAATTCTTAGCAACTCTGTAATATAGAGTAGAATTGCCACATGGGCTTTCTAAGACCATCAATTCTTTTAGAATCACACAGCAATGCAGCTGGTTGGTTCAAACTAGGCACGTTTCAATTTAGAGCTGGGTTCTTTAATAATGTGTCACAAGGCCTCCTTTCTTGACATATTGTTGTTGTTGTTATGTACCATTGAATTGCCTAAAACTCATAGTGACCCTATCAATACTGGCTCTGAAACTTATACTATCCTGAGTCAATTTACTATCTCTGACACACCTAACCCATTGCCACAGTTACTGAGTTAATCCACGTCACTCAGGATCTTCCTCTTCTGAGCTGACCCTCTATGCTTCTAGGCATGGCATTCTTCTCTACAGACTGGTCCCTCTTGTGAACATGCTTAAAGTATATGTGACAGAATTTGAAAAACCCTTGCTTCCGAAAGGCAACCAGGTTACCCCTTCTCAAGGATAGATGTGTTTGTTCTCTTGGCAGTCTATAGTGTATTTAATACTCTTCTCCAGCACCCAAACTCAAAGGCATCAATTCATTGTCATTCATCTTCATTCATTGTCCAGCTCTCAGATATATATGAAGCAATTGAGAAGACTATGGCCTGGATCAGACAAACCTTAACGTCTACACTGACATTACTGCTTTTTATAACTCTGGACAGGTTCTTGACAGCAGATTTTCCCAATGCAACATGTCTTTAATTTTTTGAATGTTGGTGCCAAGGGCGTTTCTTGCAGACTTGAGGAAGATTGTTACAACTTCAACCTTTTCTCCATCTATCATTATATTGCCTATTGGCTCAGTAGTGAGGATCTCTGTTTTCTTGATGTTGAGATTCAACTCATATGGAAAGCTGCTGTCCTTGACCTTCTGCAGCAAACATTTCAAGTCCCCCTCAGTTTTGATAAGCAAAGTAGTTTCACTTGAATATTGTGAAGTGTTGGTGAGTGTTCCTCCAATCCTGATGCCACAGTCTTTTCATAAAGTCTAGTCTATGGAATAGCCTGTTCAACATATAGATTGAAAATGTATAGAGAAAAGAGACAGTGTGACACAATCCTTTCTTGATTTTTGAATCATGCAAGGTTCCTTTGCTCTGTAGGGGTAACAGCTTCCTGGTCTAGCTATAAGATTTGCATTAGCACAATCAAATGTTTTGGGATTTCCAATCTTTTCCATGTTAGCTACAACTTTTTGTGATCTACCCAGGCAAAGGTCTTTGCATAGTTGACAAAACACAAATGAAGCTCTACAAACTTGTTGTTAAGTGTCCTCAAGTCATAGATGACTCAGTGACCCTGTGAACAAAAGACCTGAATAATTGTATAAATTTCATCATTTCTCCATGTTCATAGAGTTTCTGGAGGCAAGCTATTTTGGATGAGGATGCCACTCCTGCTTCTAAGCTTGTTTTAATCAGGAAGCTCCACCAAACACTGTCTGCCATGGTAACCATTATCACATATGACATAACAGTATCACAGTGTTTAGCATCACAGCAACCATGAGTCACCTCTGTACAGTAAATGGACAGACCAGTTTTATATCACTTAGAAGATTGATCAAAAACAATCAGAACTAGGTCTGAGGGTCACAGATTAAAATCACCCATCTTTGGCTTAGTAGCATAACTTTCTATGCACTAGGCCAACAAAGCTCTCCCTATGTTGTTGTTAACTTAAAGCCTTGAAAAATCCTAGTGGACAGTTTTAGTCCATCAGCTGGTACTGCTGTGAATCAAGATTAATTCAATGGGATGTCAAAGGGAAGAAAAAAAATACACACACACACACACACACACACACACACACACAGGCGCGCACATATGTATAAAAAGATGTCACAGGATAAGAACAATCAGTTGCTTCTAGTGAGATTAATTGCCTCTGAAAATTAACTGAAGGGTCAGCTATGGGTCAGTTCCAATTTTACAGTACGCAACAACATCTCACTAATTCTGAAACACTAACCCCCATTGCCCGAGTTACTATATCAACCCATCTCACCTGGGATCTTCTTCTCCTGCACTCTCCCACCACCCTTCCAAGCATGATGTCCTTCTCCAAGGACTGATCTCTCCTGGCCACATGCCCAAATATGAGATGGAGCTTTAAAACCCAAGCCTCCAAGGAGAAACATGTTTTAACCCTCTCCGAGACAGATCTATTTGTTTCCTTGGCAGTCCATGATATGTTCAGGATTCTTCTGCAGCACCACAACTTGAAGAAATTGATTCTTCTACTGCCATCTTTAGTCATTGTCCAGATCTCTGATACACAGTAAATAACTGAGGAGACCATGGCCTAGATTAGGCACACCTTAGTCTCTACACAGACATCGTTGCTTTCGAGAACCCTGGAGAGGTCCTTGACGGCAAATTTCCCAATGCAATTTGTCTTTTGATATCTATCTCTGCATATTTTTTCAATCTATATGCTTAACAGATCATCCGGGAGAGGCTGGACTCTATGAGGAGGAATAAGGCATCAGGATTGGAGGAAGACTCAACAATCTGTGTTATGTAGATGACACAATATTGCTTCCTGAGACTGAGGAAGACCTGAAGTTCTTGTTGCAAAAGGTCAAGGACTGAAGCCTTCACTGTGAATTGAAGCTCAACATCAAGAAAACAAAAGTTCCCACCACTGGGCAGATTGGCAGCATCATGATAGATGGTGAAGAGATTGAGATTGGTAATAGCTTTAGTTTGCTTGGCTTCACAAACACCACTTTGGCACTAGCCGCCGGGAAAT